AGCTCTTCCATGGGCTGGGACCAATTCATATTTTTCTTGGAGGCTTTGGATGTAGGAGCTTTGACTTTGTGGTCATCAACCTCACTCTTCCAGAGTCATTGCAGTCCAGTGGCACCACAATAGTCAAGATGACCATTGATGGCCCAGGATGCAGCGGATGGCCTCGGCGTCTTTCATGTCTCACCAAGCTCTAAGCGCTCCACCTGCCTGCTTCAACCACCTTCATGGCTGTGGGAACAAATTGTTCTTATCCGACAATTTGGCCAGGGCAAGTCTACACGTGCTTGGGGTAGACACCCCTCTAACTCACTCACTGATTTGAGGCCTGTTGGTTACTCTCAACCTGGTTTTGCCTGTCCGCTGAAAGGGTTTACTGGGATTTCGCTGCTGCTACAGCTTCCTGGAGCCACAGGTGAGAGTTGAGTGCAAGGTGGATACCAAAGGCAGGTGAGCAGCCCGGAAAAGGGCTCATCAGCCCTCACCCTAGAGGTGCTAGTCCTCCTTGAACACCCCATACAGCTGAGTGGCAGAGTGGATAGAATGCCAGACCTGGAGTCAGGAAGCCTCATCTTCCTGAGTTCAAATCCAGCCTCCAACACTTACTAGTTGTGTGATCCTGGGCAAGTCACCTTGCCCTGTTTGCCTCAGTTTCTTCATCTGTAAAATGAGCTGGAGAAGGAAATGGCAAACCACTCCAGTATCTTTGCCAAGAAAACCCCAAACGGGGTCATGGAGAATCAGTCGTGACTGAAATGACTGAACAACAACAATATTCATCGAATCACATGACATTTAAATTCTTAAAAGAAAAAGCTACCCACGTTATTGGGAGAAAGAGATAATGTCAGGATCCCCATGCCAAGGACACCCCGCTCTTTTTACTATCAGGAGATACCCTGTCTTCCAGAGCGAAGGCCTAGAAAGCAGGCTGTGCCCTGAGCTTGGCATAACAAAAATCCTTTGTGTACAGTCTCTGGACGATCTCAGTCACAGCAAAGCCCCAGCATTGTTTCACACCAGCAGCAGGTAGACTCTGAGCTTGGACAAGCACCTGCAGGACCCGTGTTCTGGTCATGAAGCCCAGCTAGGAAACAAACTTGTCTCATTGTTGCTGTTACCCCTCATTGTCAGGGCTACAGCTCACCATGCAACCATTGCTGCATGTATTTAGACTGAAGCAGATCTCCTTGGTGTCAGAGCAGGTCTTGACATGTATGTCTCATTTCCCTCCTCCAACGAAATAAAGCTTTTTGCTTATGACTGTTATTATCTCTTTGGTTTTATTTTGTTCTTCGTGCTGTTTCAGAGTCAACTGCCTTTGTGTTGACCTGTGTGAGCTCTTTGGTGTTTTTGGAGTTCACATTGGTTGCAAAACCTCTGTGACTCTTTGGTCTTTTGTTTTTAGGGTTGACAATAATAAATCTATAATAGTGAAAGTCTTTAATATATTCATTTCAAAGCTAGATAAATCTAATAAAAAAAGTAAGGAAGTTAAGGACCAGAATATAATTTTAGAAAAGCTAAACATAAGTCTTTGGTGATTACTGAATGGTAAAAGAAAGGGATATACACATATGTATGTATACATATATTATATATATATAATATACACACATATACATATATGTATGTTCTCAAGTGTGCATGGCATCATAATAAATGTGCATAAAAGCAGTTATATTGAACATATCCTTTACTAACCAAAATACAATAAAATAATTATATTTAATAAATGGTCACGGAAGAAAGAATTCAAAATTAAGTGGAGACTAAACAAAAATCCTACAGAATGAATGAGTGGTAGAATAGAACCTAGAAGCAATAATTTCATTAAAGATAATGATTGTGAAGGCAACATGTAAAATTTTTAGAATGTGGACAAGGAATCCTTAGGGAAAATGTATTTCTTTAAACACTTTCATCAACAAAAGAAAGCCTCAATCAATGAAATGGGCATACAAATTTAAAAAATAAAAACCAACAGAAAACTAACAAACTAAAAAACCTAAATTAAACATGCTAAAATAGACATGCTAAAAATCAAATAAGAGATTAATAAAGTTCAAAGCAAAAACAAAAACCCATCAAATAATAAATAAAACAGATTTTTTTAAAAAAAAATAAACCATTAGCTAATTTTATTTTTAAAAAAAAAGAGGATTAGCAAACTACTAGTTTGAAAAATCAAACAGGAAATTTCACAACAAATGAAGAAGAAATAAAAGATATCATTTTGCTCAATTACATGCCAATAAAACCATGAACTTAAATGAAAAGGCTGAATATTTACAAAAATACAAAATACTCAGAAAAGAATCCAGGACAGAACACTCTAACGGAACAAGAAATAAATAATTTAAACAACCTACTCTCCAAAAGAGCAAGTGAAAGAGCCATATACCTGTGACTTGAGTCTTGTTCCAAGGTTACAGATGCATCAGATCAGCCCAGTTTTTTGTGGAAAAATACGGGATAATAGATTGCAGTTGTGGAAGCACCTTTTGTTATTTTACATTCCATGAAATGAAAAATACACCCATCCCATTCCCTCAGTGGGACCAGGTAACTTGTTCTGGAAACATGTCTTTGAAATAAACTAAGTCCAACTCTTTCTGACACCCAGCTGATGTTAAAATTGACCTTTACTGTGCCTAGTTTAAAGGATTCTTGCTAATGTTGTAGGATCCTGCCTAAAAATGGTGTAAAGAATGCTTTTCCCTTATGCTCATGGTAGATGCTTCTGTGAGCGAGTTTCTGCTAGGCTTGTTGAACAGAAAACATTTTTGCTTTATCTCTGGACTCTTGCTTACTTACTGACCCTATCCTCACAGGTTAATGTAGATTGGTGAGCAATGAATGATCTTTGAGGGTCAACTTCAAATTGAATTCCACTGCGTCTTTTAGTGGTTACTGCTCTTTCTTAAGTATAGCTCCATGGGGAAGAGGGAGGAATGCTGTGAAAATGAAAGCAGATTGCCAAGCAGGCACTGAAGAGGTGGATGAGAGGGGATGATTTCTGGAGGAACTTTGTGGTCCCTGTGGAAGGAGTCAGCTGGTCTGGTTCGAGTGAGATGTCCCATGAGGTTCTGGGGAGTATCTCTTAATTCTAGCTGTGTGGGTAAGGTTCATGGGCTTGGAGGAGAACTAGTGGCGCCAGCTTTAGTGGCAGAAACTTATCACCTCAAAAGCATGAGGTGAACTTGGGCTAAGTTTTAGCTTCTGCTGCTTCTAAGGGAAGGAGGGCACCCAGGAGGCCAGGTGGACTCGGGAGCTCATTGGGACAACTCTTTGGGAATTTCTTCTCTCTTCGTCCTAAGGCAGGATCCTGCCAAATTCCTTTCATGATGCAAATATGGTTTTGATACCTAAACCAGGGAGAGTCAAAAGAGAAAAAGAAAACTAGACCAATATCCACGATAAGCAGGGATGCAAAAATTTTAAATAATATATTAGCAAAGAGGTTATGCAACATATTTCAAAGATCATCCACTATGACCAGGTAGGATTTATACCAGGAATTCAGGGTTGGTTTAATATTAGGAAAATTATAGGTATACCAGACCATATTAATAATAACAACAAAGCCATAGGATTATATCAATAGATTCAGAAAAGTTTTTGACAAAATAGTGTACCTATTTCTGACAAACACTAAAAAAGAGATTTCTTCTTAACGCTATGTGAACTGAGGCATGCTCTCTAAGGAATCTCAGCTCTCTTTTCCCCAAAGGGAGAAGCTATCCAGAAGCCAGCCCTACAAGATCCAAATCCCTCTTTTCCCTAAAGGGGAAGAAAACCAGAGGAAGATGATGCCTGTGAAATTAAAGATCTTCATTAGGCAGGAAAATAGCATGTGCCTGGGAACAGGCAGCCTAATGCTGAAATAGCTGAGCCAAGCAGAGGATGAGGAGGGCATGCGTACTCTGCAGACAAAGGAGGCAGGAGACAGGAAAGAGAATTCGGCTGGTCCCAGGGAGAGGCAGGGCAGAGAGCGCCTAGTCCCAGGGGCTGGGGGGGAGCAGGGCAGTGAGGAGCTCCAGGGGTCAGAGCCTCTTGATACACAAGCAATCCTGCCAGTGGGAGGCTCGGGCACAAACGAGATGACGGGGCGTCTCCCGAGCCCCAGAAACCACTGATGGGGCAGGCTGAAGATAAGGATGTCCCCAGGGTCCAAGCTGAGGTGCGCGCACAGCTGGGTGCGCTCTGGGTCACTGCAAAGGATTGTTGGTATGTCAAACCTCTCAGTTCTCCGACAGCTCTTCTCGGTGACCTGGTGGGGGCGCTCAAGCTACACGACAACAATAAGTGCCCCTCAGACACCGCGACTACGGGTTTCCTGCCGGTCCCAGGCACCCGCATTTGCACAGAAGGGCCGCAATGCGGGAGGGCTGGGAGGGGAAAGACCCCGCCCCGCCCCGCCCCGCCCCGCCCCGCCCTCCACTTTACATAGGCTGCATTGGGCGAGACTCTAGTGGGGCCGGGCCACAGAAGACCGCCGAGGCTTCTGGGAAGCGGAGCCGGTACAGAGACGGGAGGGGGGGGGACGGCTGAACTTGTGCTGGGCTTTGTCACGGCGCGCGCATGCGTAGCGCTCACCGAGCCTCCACTTCCCAGAGGCCTCCCGCTTCAGGCTCGGGCCGCGCCTGCGCTTGGAGCCGCCCCTCCTTCCTCTCCGCCCCTCCCCCCCACCCGCGCGCCCCAGAAGGACTCTGGGACTTGTAGTTCGCAGGTTGATGGCGGAGCGCTCGGATTCTCCTCCGCGGCTGGGGCCCTTTGTTCGCCTGAGGCTGAGGCCGGGTGAGTGAGGGCGGTCTGGAGGGGGGCGGGGCGGAGCCTGGGCCCTGCTGGGAGCCGTAGTGGCGGGGGAGGGGGCGGGGTGGGGAGCAAGGTGGGGCGCGACCACGTGGGGGGCGAGGGGGCGGGGTGGTGGAGGACCTCGGGCTGCGAGGTTCGTGGGGGAGGGGCTGGGGGGGCAGCCTCTGGGGGCGGGGCGGGGCACGGGGTGTCAGGATCAAAGCCTCGGAGGCGGAAGCGGCTTTTGGGCCCGTCTGGTTTTGGCTACCCATTTGGCAGGTGAGGACACTGAGGCTCGGAGAGGGCCGGGCAGGGAGAGCAGAGGCTGGGCTCTCTGGGGGGTGGGGGAGGGAAAGGGAGAGCGCTAGCCCGGGGTTGGGGGCGTCCCCCAGGCCCCCTGGAGCACTGCATCTTCGCCGGCTGGCTCCTCATCCTCCCTGTCCCGCATCCCCCCCCCCCCCCCCCCCCCCCCCCCCCCCACCCCCGCCCGGGGTCGTGCGCAGCCCCCAGAGGGCCAGACTGCCTGGGGGGAAGCAAGCCGGAGAGGCCTTCAAGGCTTTGCCAGCAGCTCCGCTTCCGTTCCCGTGGTTGATACAATGTATCCGTCTGCGGCCATTGTAACTCTGTGCCGCCGGGGCCCCCAGGAGCCCAAGGTCAGACATAACCTGTGCCTTCAACCCCCCGGGTGTCTGAGTCACCCGAGCTGAGCGTTACAGTGCCAGCCCCGGCTGAAGGAGCGCCCCGCCTCCCCCCCCCCAGGGTGAGGGTAGCCCAGGATGCCCGGGAGCTCGGACACCCAGGAGAAGACAGAGCGTCCCCGAGAACCTTCACTCGGCCGGACGAATGCGAAGGGCAAAGGCTGGAAGCCTGCTTCGCACCCTCATTCCCTTGGGCAATGGCTTGGGAAGAACGACGGAAACTGGGAGCAGCGTCCCTCTGTCCCCGCCGGCCACTACCTCTAGAGCCACCCCCACCCAGCCTGCGCACAGGTGCCTAGCTGGCCCTCTGCCTTTGAGGCTTTGACTTGATTTACCCTACCCACACACAAGTTGGTCTGAGAACAAGCAGAGTAGCTCTAGGGATGAACCTGGGCTCATGTCCCACTTGGAAAGCTGCTTTGGTGGTCTTGTGTAAGTCACTTAACTTCCTTGGGTCCTGCTCTGGGCTCAAAGGGCTCTGAGGCCCCTTGTAGGCCTAGACCTGGGGTCCTTCCTTGGGCCTCAGTTTCCCCCAACACAACATTTGGGGTTGTATTCCATGGCTTCTCAGGCCCCTTCCAGAACTAGACCCAGGGTCCCTTGAGCACAGGATCCATCTCTCTCTCCTCCTTCCCCCCCCCTCCAGAGCCTGCTCTTTCCCCCTGGGGGGTGCCTGCTCCCTCCCCCCAGTGCCTGCTCCCTCCCCCGGGGGGGGGTGCCTGCTCCCTCCCCCCCAGTGCCTGCGCCTTGCTCCCTTCCTCTCTCCCTTGATGGCCCCTCAGTCTCTATTGCCATTCATCTGACCACGGCTGCTCTTCAAGGTGCCTCTTCTTGCTTGGTTAGCATAGTACCTGGTACATAGTAGGTGCTTAATAAATGTTCCTTGACTGAGCAGTCGAGCATCCCCTCCCAGCTCTGGCTCCAGCCTGCAGCAGTCTCCACTCCAAGATGGAGGCCTTCCCTTCCCTCCCCCAGCTCTGTGTGTGGAGGCCGCCAGGAGTCCCCCCTGCCCATCACCTCTCCTTACTCCTAGCTGTTTGGTTTCTGCCTACGGATGGTTAGACCTTGATGTACACTGCCACGCTGCCAGAAATGTGCAAAGTGCCAGGCACCATGCTAAGCGCCTTACAAATATTATGTTATTTGATCCTCACACAACCTTAGAAAATGTGTACTATTATTGTTTCCATTTTACAGTCAAGGAAACTAAGGCAGGCAGAAGTTAAATGACTTGCTTAGGGTCACACAGCTAGGCCGCATCTGAGGTCAGACCCCAAGCCCAGTGCTCTATCCTTTGTTCCACCTAGCGGCCTCTAAATAGAATAGAAAAAACCTTTCCATTAAATGCCACATAGCCTGAATCCAATCTTTGTATTACCTATTTCTTTTTTTTTTAATATAATTTTTTTTTATTTTTAGGCAATTGGGGGGGGGGGGGTTAAGTGACTTGCCCAGGGTCACACAGCTAGTAAGTGTCAAGTGTTTGGTTTGAGGCCGGATTTGAATTCAGGTCCTCCTTACTTCAGGGCCGGTGCTCTATACACTGCGCCACCTAGCTGCCCCTGTGTTACCTATTTCTAAGACTGGAGCTTTGTCCCTGGGTCTCCAGACAATGACCCTGGCCCCGCTCTTTGATCCTGAGTGGGCCTGACTCTCCTGGCCTCCCTGTGATGGCAGGGCCAGAATCCATCGCTATGTCTGTGCGTGTGAATTTCTGCCTGGGGAGCTGCGGATCTGGGCAGTAGCCCTGGCCTCCAGCCCTGGCCTAGCTCCTCAGCCCTCTTCCTTCCCACAGCTGTGTCTCCTCAAGACTGCCCCCTTCCCCAAGAGCCGAGCATGGAGAAGGAGCAGAGAAGGTCTTCCGGGCGCCTGCCGCCCCGGCTCCAGGTGAGTTGAGCAAACGTCCCTCATCTGTTGTGTCTGAAGTCTTCTTTCACCCATCGTCCTTCATACCATGGTCTGCTAATCTATGGCCTTGGCAGTGGGTCCTGTACACCTGGAAGATCTCTGCTCCTAAAGGGCTGAGATAGTTTAGTTTTTGGCTAAAGACTCTTTCTTAGAACACAGTTCCCTCTATGTAGTTGTTCAGCTGTGTCTGATTCCTCGTGACCCCATTTGGGTTTTCTTGGTAGAGATACTGGAGTGGTTTGCTATTTCTTTCTCTGGCTCATTTTACCAATGAGGAAACTGAGGCAAACAGGGTGAAATGACTTGCCCAGGGTCACACAGCTACTAAGTGCTTGAGGCCAGATTTGAATTCAGGTCCTCCTGACTCCAAGGTTGGAGCTCCAACCACTGCACCACCCAGCTGCCCAGTACTACCTAATCTACTTGTGTGTCATAGGTGCTTAATATTAAGTTACGTGTGAAACTTGCATGGAGTTTCAGTCTGGAGATCTCGGATCTGAGTGTGTGCTTTCCTTTGGTGACTCAGTGGGATTTCCAGTGTACATTGCATACAGTAAGGGAGGCAGGTAGGTGGCCAGTCAGCCAGTCTCCACCAGATGTGGGCCTCACAGCTCTCCCTGAGGTGCGCACTGCTCGCTCGCTTCCCTCGAGGCCCACCCCTCCCTTCCCCTCGTTTCAGGAGTCGGTGACGTTCAAGGACGTGGCCGTGAACTTCACCCAGGAGGAGTGGCGGGAGTTGGACGCTGCCCAGAGGGATCTCTACTGGGACGTCATGCTGGAGAACTACGAGAACCTTGTCTTCCTGGGTAAGGGCGGCCCCGGCTTTGCTCTGAGGCCGCAGTGCAGCTCCGGCCTGGGCTCCGGCCTTGGGGTCTCTGAAGGGCTTCTCTGAGGGGTGATCCTTCCAGATTCACAGAGTGAGGCAATATCCCCCTACCCTTCAGGGCCAAGAGACAGTGTTTCTGCTTTCTGATGGTCTTTATTCTGTCCTGTGAAAACACGTGGCTTCATTGTTCTGGCCCTGGGCTCTGCCCACCTTACCTTACTCACTCTGGAGAGGGGGTGAATGCCTTTTCTCCCACATCACGGATTTGCATCTAGGGTCCCCAGGGAAAAGGTTCCATCTTCTTAGTACAGGCTTCCTTGGAGCCCAGATTGGCACGGGGCTTGCCCCCTGGGCCCAGCGTGCGGGGGCACTCTGGGGATGAAAGCGCTTTCCTCTTCAGAGTCAGGCAGTGCACTCCAGGGATGAGTCGCTGCATGTGCGTCTGGACTCCGCTGTGGCATCTGGTTGATTTTTTTAGCTCCCCTCCTTTGGAGTGCTGTGTTGGGTTGGGGCTTGGGGAGGATGTGGAAATGACTGAAATTTTTAAAAATCAACGGAACATTTCAAATCCAAGAGCTGAGGTTGTGGGCCTCCCCCCGCCGAAGCTGCCGTGACCCTCGCCCACCGAGATCGGCTGGCCGTGCCTAGATCTGGAATGAGGAGGCACCAATGTCAGGGGGTGTTGTCAGAACTTGGGAATGGGAGAATCAGGTCCAGGAGAACAAGGTGGTGAAAGGCCAGAGACTTTTGGGGGTGAGAAGGCAGCCGTTGCTCCTGGGACCTGGCCTGCTGTGGTCGGGACCGGGGACATGCCTGAGAGAGTGAGAGAGGGATGGGAGGAGGGCAGACGCGGCTTCATCCGCCGCTGCGCCTGCTCCTGGGCTGGCGCTGTGTCATGTCTGCTCAGATCCCGTCTTGTGCGCTTTCTCGGGAGAGGTTTGGATCAGCATAAGTAGGGTTCCTTCTGAGCCAGGTTCGGAACCCAAGGTCTCGAGCAGCCAGACTCGACGGTCGCCAGCGCTGTCCATTTCCATCCCATCAGCAGGGCTTCCAGTTTCCAAACCGGACGTGCTCTCTCATTTGGAGAGGGGAGCAGCCCCATGGATGCTAGAGGGAGAATTCCCAGGAGACGTCTTCCCAGGTGAGTGAGGGAGGCCTTGTCAGCTGGCCAGTGAGACCCCAGAGCCTTCAGAAATGGGCAGCAGGCAGATGGTGCCACAGGGCTGGAGGCCAGCAGGGGAAATTGGGAGCTTCCTAATAAAATCCAGTCATTAAGCATTTATTTAAAAAATTTCAGAGTTTTAAAAACATCATTAATTTTATTAATGAGATTATTCAACATAACAGTTATGTTAATAGAATAGTATTAACAATACATGTTATAGAAAAATATAATTAAAATAATAAGATTACTATAGTAATTTTATAAATATTAAATAGAAACTTGTGTTAGTTATTTGTAATTAGACTCATCTCATGACTCCATATGGGCCTTTCTTTGTAACAAAGAAGGGGGAAAATCAGAAAAGTGAAAGCCAGCCCCTTCTGAAAGTATCTATCTGTGCCCCTCCCCCTGCCAGACTCCAGGGCCAGGAATCACAGTGACATGGGTTTCATGTCTTTGGTTTCCATTGTTGTATTCTGTTGGCTTTACCTTGTAGTGGTTACACGAGTCTTCCCAAATATCCTCATGTTCATCCAGCAATATTCCATTTGTCTCATGTACGACCATTCCTTCAGCCATTCCACAATGGATGGGCACCCACTTTGCTGCCACCCACAGAGGGCCGCGATATTTGTGGAATGGGCTGTTGTGTCCTTGACCTCTGTGCGGGGGGTGTCTGAGCAGGATCCTCAGGGTCAGCAGATTAGCCTGACGCTTCTTCCACCCATCAGAGAGCATTTAAGGACTTCCTGTAGCCAGGGACCCTCCAGGAGCTCCCATTCTGATGGGAAGATGACATCACCAGGTACCTGCAGATACGGGAGTTGAGTCTGGAAGGAGGCCAGGGCTGACCAGAGGCAGAGGTGAGGAAGGAGAACATTCCAGGCATGAGGGACAGCCAGTCCAAAGGCCCCAAGGTGGGATGTGGAGGGTGGTGTGAGACTAGGCAGTGGATGCTAGAGTATGTGGGGGGGAGTAGGCCGGAAAGGAGGAAGGAGCCAGGTTGTGGATATCTGCTCTGTTTGGGGCGTCATAGGGAGAAAAGGGGAGTGACCTGGTCATTCCTGGGCCGCAGCCCAGTGGTGCGGGGAGAGACTTGAATCCCCAACCAAACTAGGATGAGGGGCTGAGGACACGGCGCCTCTAGCAGTGGCAAGAAGAGGTCCGGGAGGAGAGAGTGATGAAGGTAGAAATGGCGGCCTTGGTCCTGGCCTCCCTGGTGAGGGAGCAGGAAGGGTGGTGGGGGACACCCAGGGTGGGGGCCTCTGTGACTGGGAGCTTGGTGGTGCCGTGACAAGCACCTGGATGGCTCAGAAGAGGAGAAGGTTTTGGGGGGAAGATACAGAATTGAGTTTCGGCCATTCTGGAATCAGAGATGCTCGCGGGATAGCTAGCTTGAAAGGTCCAGTGGACAGTCGGAGAGGCAGACTAGGGCTGGGTACATCGATCTGGGGAAAATCTTCATAGCGATGGTAGCAGAACCCATGGGAGCTGATGAGAGCCCCGAGGAGGGAGCGTCTCCAGAAAAGAGTGGGGCCAGGACAGCCGCTGGGCTCTGTGGAATTCCAGATTGTTGAGCCGAGGAGTTGGAGCACAGCTCCACAAAGAGGGCTGGGCGTATTCCTTACTCGTCACCCACTGTCCCCTCTCTTCTTATCTCTGCATTTGGGCAGCATTGGGCCAGACCTCTGGAGCTGTTTGGATTTTCACTCCTGTCATTAATTTTGATTGGAACTGTCTTTCGTGTGGTTTCTAATGGTTTGCATTCTTTTGAGACCTATCTGGTCATGTCCTTGACCTCTTTCATATCCATTGAGGGTGGCTCTTGATCTCATGCATCTGTGATACTTCCTTATCTGTGACGATAATAATAACACCTAATGTTCATATAGCGCTTACTGTAATTAAGGTATCAGGACCTCATCAGAGCTGTTTCATCTCTTTTGGAGAGGCTTTGGTTTCCTTTTTGCAAAAGCTTTTCAGTTTCATGTAACTGAAATTGCCTATTTTGTCTTACTCACTTGAGTGTCTAGTGTATATTATTGCCACAGACCTTTGGAACACGTCAACTAGTTCTAAAAGAAACAAAGCCTTTTAAATGGACAGGAAAAAAAACAAACCTTTCTCCTTTGGTTAAGAATTCATTCCCTTGGGGGGGGGGGGCAGCGAGGTGGCGCAGTGGATAGAGCACCAGCTCTGGAATCAGGAGGACCTGAGTTCAAATCTGACCTCAAACACGTGATGCTTACTAGCTGTGTGACCCTGGGCAAGTCACTTAACCCCATTGCCTAGCCAAAAAAAAAAAAGAATTCACTCCCTCGCCATAATCATGAGAGGTGCCACCAAACAAGGTTATGTCTGTTGCGAGAGCTTCTAAAGAATCTTATGGAATTTTGATGTGAGGACATTAGAAGACAGCCGTTAAGAGTGACCATCACGATGCCTTCCGCCATGTCCAGTCCTTCTCCGTCTCACGTGACAAGGCAGTGCTTCTTCTTGCCAAGCACAAGTGGCACTGTTCCAGCTCAATCTTCTCTTTAGTGCATGGCCCCCCCTGTGTCCCCCACCCTCTCACTCATCTTCAATCTCTGTCTTCCTGATTCCTTCCTTACTGCCTATAAACACACCCGCGTCTCCTCCATCCTCCAGCGCTCATCACTGATCCATCCATCTCTGCTGGCTGATGTTCCGTGTCTCTTCCCCTTTGTGGCATTATTTCTGATTATTTTATTATCTTATTATTTTCTATTATTATTATATTATTATCTATATTATCTTCACTTAGTTCTGCGAAAATTGTAGGTGAATGTTTAGGGGTCACACAGTTCCCAGTAAGAGCCAAGAGTAGCATTTCTTCAGGACTTTGTTAGCCTGAGATCTAGAAATACTGGAGTTGTTCTCATTTCTCTTATACTCTTCTGTCATCAAAGCTATTTCTGGGTCCACCAGACTGGTGATTTTCTTAGTGTTGGCCCTACACTTAGGGCATTTCTGGTGAGGACAGTAGCCCTCCCAGTGCTCACCTCCTGGTCGGCTCTGAGGGGTCCTGAGCTAAGAGCATGGCTGGGTGGGTCTTGAGAAGGGGGCTGGATTCAAGAGATGTGGAAAGAAAAGCACCAGGGCAGATATTGGGAGGGGGAGTGAGCTGTCGAGGTTGTGAACCTGGATCACTGGAAGGATGGTAGACGCCTTCATGGAAACAGCGGTGAGAGGAGGGTTGGAGGTGAGATGCCTGAGAGACAGCCAGGTCGGCATGTCCCGTAGACAGGTGGTGCCGTAGAACCTGCGCTCAGGGCAGAGCTGAGGAGAGCTCTAGACGCGGGAGTCGTCGACGTTGGGGTGACTGTTGTACCAATGGGAGCTGACGAGGTCAGCAAGGAAGCATGTGGAGAGAAAGAAGAGGAGCGGGCTGAGGCCGGGCGTCCAGCCCCAGGGGGCAGGAGAACACGGACCAAGATCCAGGCGTTTGCTTCCTTTGCCTGCCTGGATCTAACAGCAAGACCTCTTTGGGCTGGTTTTCTCCTCCGTTGCTTCTCTCTGCTTTAGGAATCTGTCATTAGCAACACTGCTAATAATCATTCATCATCCTTGGCAGGATTTTATAGATGACTTTCTAGTCTCTTCCGTTCTTTCCTTTTGCACAGATCTCTGTTTAGCAAGCAAGGCAGGTATTTGCTGACTGTGATGCTTTCTGAGCTCCTTTGGGCTCCTCGTAGCAATTAATTTACGTTGGCTTAACTTCTAGATGAAATTATTATTATCGTGGTCAGCATTGAAGTCATTTCTGTTGCCTTTCTAATTCCGTGTCATCAGAATTGATCTACTTTGTCTTTTATGTTCACTTCTATCCCTTGTTTGGCCAAGACTTTTTAACCAAACTAATATTATGAAAGGGACTTCATTCCTTTATCCTGTACTTTTTTCTTATGACTTTTTTATATGAATGAATGAATGAAAAAAGCATTTCTTAAGAGCTTACTGTGTGCCAGGCATTGGGTTATGGGATTCAGATATTTTTAAAAAATGGGTATTCAGATATTAGAAAAAGAGAGAGAGTCCCTGCCCACAAGGAGCTTAAATTCTAATGGGGAGAGTTAGTACACATAGAGAAGTGGTAAGTAATAAATGGAGTTTTGTTTTGGGGGAGTGTAACAAGGTTTGGCCTTGTGTTGGGGGTGAGGAAGACTGAAGCACACGTGGTCAGGCAGATATTAAGATGGACTGAGGAGATAGTGGGATGGGGTAGGAAGCTGCAACATGTTGAGATGTACAAGGCCAGCCAGTAGATAGCGAAGGTTAAGTTGACTAGTTTGTATATAGTCAGTCAGCTGTGTTAGGCCCCCGTTTGAGAGTTCCAAAGGTGGGTGGATTAATGGATTGTAGGAATGGAATACCTAGCTGTGGAGGTCCAGGTCTCAGATCTGTTGCAGAGGTACTGATCCATGTGTGAAGGAGTAGTTCAGCCGTGAATGGCTGGTGAACGAAAGCATGGACTGACTCCCAATCACCATTTTCATCTTATTTGGGTATTCAGTATAAGATGGTGATCTAAAAATAATTTCTGCCAAGCTGTTTCCCAGTTTTCCTAGCAGTTTTTATGAAATAGGGAGTCGTCCAGTCAGAAATTTTGTTCTTGGACTTATTCATTGGGCTACTATTTCTGGTTCATTCTGGGTTCTGTTGATCTGCTTCTCTGCTTTTTAGTCAGTTCCAAGTGGTTTGAATGCCTACCAGTTTGTAGTATAGTTTGAAGTCTGGGAGTAAGTTTGAGGTCCATTTCTTTTGTACTTTTTTCATTTTTTCTCATGAGATTTTAGATCTTTGTTTTGCCAAGTAAATTCTGTTATTCTTTTGTTCGATTCCATAAAGTATCCCCAGGGTCATTTGTAGGGCACCACATCTGTCACTTCATTTACGTAATAACTCACTCTAATTGAGTTGGGTTTATAGCAAGGATGCCAGGATGGCTCAGCATTAAGAATATAATTGACCTAATTAAATGTATACACAGTAAAATCACATTATAATATCAGGAGATGCAGAAAGAAACTTTTGCTAAAATATAACATTTGTTTATAGGAAATATTCTGAATAGCAAGACCTGAAGGTAGCTTTTATTGTTATTCATTCATTTCAATTACGTTCAACTCTCTGTGACCTTATCTGGGGGTTTTCTTGACAAAGATACTGAAGTGGTTTGCCATTTCCTTCTCCAGCTCATTTTACAGATGAGGAAACTGAGGCACACGGGGTGAAGTGATTTGCTTGGGGTCACCCAGCTGGGAAGCGTCTGAGGCCAGATTTGAACTGTGCAATGATGCGTAAATCACTCAACCCTGTGTGCCTCAGTTTCCTCATCTGTAAAATGAGCTGGAGAAGGAAACGGCAAACCACTCCAGCATCTCTGCCAAGAAAACTCCCAGACAGGGCCATGGAGAGTCAGACGTGACTCAAATGACTGGACAACAAGAACTTCCTGACTCTGGGCCCAGCACTCTTTTATTGTGCCACCTCATTCCTTGCAATTAAGAAACCCTGGAAACTTTCCCCATGCAAGGAAGGGTAAAGCAAGAATTCTCTCTCTCTCTCTCTCTCTCTGTCTCTGTCTCTCTCTCTCTCTCTCT